GCGAGTTTATTTTTTATTGTTTACTATTACTCTCACACCTTCATAGATACCACCCGCGAATGTGACAGTTGGGCTCCCCGTTGTTACATCCATGAACGTCGATTTATGATATGTTACAGCACAGTGACGGATCATTGACTATTATCTGTTGACTAGACTACTACTCTACTGACTAGATTTCATCCATGTTTATTCAAGAAAGCATTACTCGATAGCGAAATGTGTATGTTCAATAAGTACTGTCTTTAGGTCAGAAAAAGATGTGGCGGATTTCATGTTATGGGCCGATCAAATCGGCATTAAACGTCATGGCGTTACTGTTTCCGAATGCGACGAAGTCGGCGGTTTAGGGCTACAGGCTTCGAAGTAAGTTGAATTCATAGATAATGGAAGTATGCAAACGATTGTAGAGTCGCTTTTCTTTTCTTTTCGCAAATCAGGCGCAAATACACTCCTGAGGCGCGGTAGGAGTGGCCGAGTACTTCGTTTGAACATGGCGTAGGACGGGTTATTCATGGGAAACCCTTGAGACAACTGTAATCTAATCTTTTGTTTGGATGAGAGATGATTACAATTGTCCCTGAATGAAAATTTTTCACTAAAAGTAAAGCCGCTACCGTGTTCAGCTGAAGCGCGCAGTCACGGCTATCTCAGGGGCAAGGAGTAGTATAAGTTATTTCATTTCAGAGAGATCAAGGAAGGAGACAGGTGTGTGACAGTGCCGAGACATGCCATGATTTCTGTTGATCTCGCGAGAAAATCCGCAATTCTCAAGTGAGTTTGGATCGGGTATTCGTTTTGTAATCAATGCTTGCTTTGCTCCACATCGATACTTTAAGGAAGCTGTTTGAAAGCGAGGTCATTGTCCAGAACATGGCGAATGTCGGTCTGGCTCTTTTCATCTCCGCCCATCGAGTAAAATCTGATTCAAAATGGGCGCCGTATCTCAACGTGCTTCCTAGTTCCTATACAACTCCGTTGTTTTATTCGGAAGAAGAGTTGCAGGTATGTTCATCTGCACGTCCTGTTTTGATATTATTTCACAGAAAGCTCAGTTAAGCTTTGCTTACTGTAACCTTTGTCAGCTTCTGAAACCATCTCCAGTCTTCGAAGAAGCTCTTCTGTTCTACCGCACTGTTGCTAGGCAGTTCGTTTACTACTTACTTATGGTCGGTCGTAACGACGTCTATGACAATACAAGTCGTGTAAGTGAAAAGATTCATTGTCTCAGTGTACTTAGCTTTAGTTTTCATCGCTTATTCTTTGCCCTCAATTTATGGCTGCTTGATACACTCCTTACCCCGGATATGAGAAGGGCGTGGCTGCGTACTTCATGTGTGTATGGATGTAGCGACGGCTGCACTTCTGGTGGAATATTTTCGTTTTGGGACAACTGTAGTCATTCCTTTGTCCGGCCCATGACATGATAGAGTAGTCTCCCACGAAAAACGTGCAGGAACCTAAGCTATGTTCAAATGACGTATGCAGCCTTGTCTTCCTAATCTCCGGGAAACGGTATGCACTTGGGATCATTACATCCCATGCTATGCATTTTGGTGGTGAAACTTGAGAACCACCCCACATAGTTTATTTCCAGAGAGAACGAGCGGGAGCTCAGCCTCCATTGCTGTACAACTCTCCTTTTACTGTGGACAACTTCACCTTTTCACTGTATAGATGGTCCGTTGGAACGGTGACAACGCGAATAAACCTAATCCCAAGTGAGACAGCCAGAGCTCCTGATGGTACCAAGAAAATGGTAAGTTTTCTCATCATTCTGAAGGATCCCCTCTTGCAGAGCCTAATCGGTACTTTACTTAAGTGTTTCGCTATACCTCTCACCCCTCCATATGGCTTGAAATTAGTGGCTAGTTGAAGTGATATAACATGCCCCAATGCCTCTGATACCTGACGAAACGATAGCATCTTTTTGATAAGTTTTCCCTTCGAATTTTCTAATGATAGGAGTATATTCAGAAAGAATTGCGCTCTCTATCCTCTCACTTAAGTCTTTGCTTTCGTACCTCAGTTTCGCCTATGCTTGATATGTTGAATCTTCATCATAATCCCTTGCTGAAAAAAAAACTCTTCCACTTCAAGAGGTTTCTTTAGGTACCGGCACTCATCCCTATGCTAGATATGGCGAATCATGAAGTGGTGATGGGAACTGAAGATCTAGGAGAAGCCGTTTCCTACTGTTCTGAAAGTGACTGTGCAGAGGTAATCATTTTTTTTTTCTTTTCTGGATTTGAATGTGAGATAGTGAACATATATGAAGACACACTGTTCGAATACCTAAAAGTGGATCATTTACATGAGCAGGTTCGAGGGTAACTGTGGCACTCCTTCCATTCGAAAGTGCGCGGCATGGGAGCTAGATCCTTGCGATAGTGATAGACGAAATCACAGGCAAGCGGTCCTACGGCGCCACTGTAGTTCCTATAAGATGATTCGTAACAGACAGTTTGTGTGGGTGGGACTGGGCAGTCAGTAATCGCAGCGAATGATACACGCCGAAATCGGTGTGCGCTTCATCGTCGAGTGAAAGGGATAAAAGAGTGCATATAAGTATCGCAGAAACGAAAAAAGTATTGTATGATCGGATTTGGCCTACATGGGGAGTGCTGTGCGCGTGCGTGCGCGCTTAAGTGGACGGCGTATGAAGATGGCAATAGACATCATTGAAGGCACAAGGCACAATAATTTGGCACTCGTTCTAAAATGGTAGCAGTGATGCTATGTAGAGGGGCAATGGCGAAAAAGCGAAGTGGAACGATCAAAACTGCAAGAAGCTTCGTTTTGCACGACTCCGGAGACAGTTACGGACGAGTTTAGTTCTCATCGTGCTAATAATCGCTATGGTATGTACTCGTTATCCATGCAGCACCGCAGCCGCTTCATACCAGTCCCTTCGTTTCATAATGTACTTCGTAGATAAAGGGGTACAAACATCAGCACGGACATTTGTGGGCGGCAGGCGCGGCGGACGGACGGGTTGGTATAACGCAGTTTGATGAGGCGCTATTAGGGTACCTTCTTTGGAAGGGTTGCCCCTCAACACCTGCTCAGGGCGCTGAATTCTGTCGTGCTAAGGCGCGCTTCTAGTAATCGTCTTGCGGATTTGTCGTGCTTTTGCCTTTTGAGCTTTCACAAATCGCTAGTTTCGTCGTCAAGACACTGTTGTATGGTGGCATTGCCGCACTTCCTATAAAAATCACACATGGAGAGGATCCACCTTCTCTCCTACAGTCCGTCTGTAGCTATAAGAATCATCACATTTGTATGCATCAAGTATCTGTACAGTGAAATGTGGATGTATTCCTTTGCGCAGCTTTTCGATCCTTCTTCACCCATAGCAACGCCGTGCGCTGTACATGATTTGCCTCCGCAGTAACTTGCTGACGATTGTTTTCAGATACTTGCCACAAAGAATGTGGCACCTGGTCAATGGGTGAGCATGTTTTATGGTAGGCGATCTTCTGCTGATCACTTGCTGCACAATGGTTTCGTGCCCGCTGGCGAAAATCCTTTCGACAGTTACAAGCTGAAAATCAGTGAGTTTACGTTGACTGATACATTGATAACACTTTATCATACCAATCACTTCTAAGAGTGTTCATTTGCTGATTTGTCGGTATATACGGGGAGGGGGGGGGGCAAAAGGGCACATGGTGGAGCGCATCGTGAATGTTCTCCTCGCATACGGTGGACAAATTTATGGAAGACTTGTGTGGTGAAATATTTCTAAGATGTTCCTTTAGATGTCCCTGTATAGGCATGAACAGGCTTTTTGGTGCGTGTTTCATTTTTCATGGCTGACCTTACAAGCTGAGTTAAACGTCAGGGTTTTGGGAGTCCAGACACTTGGGTTTGGCGGATTGTGAAATACATGGGTTGAGATAAGTGTGGGGTTAGAGCACCCACTTACCTGGTCACTCAGTGCGAAAAAGGTTCTAAGCGTTCTCTTCATCTGCAAAAAGTCTTTATTGTCTTCTTCCACATATCGGTCCTCGATTGCCTGTCACAGTGCAAACTATAGTTGTGCGAGTATGATAAGGAAAGTGATACAATTAGAGGACCACCAGCAAAATGCCTCATCTTACCAACGTGACATTGCGACTGTGATAACACCTTCCTAATGTCCAATGTATAAGATCCTGTTTAAAATCTCTTGTACATTACTATCCTCACTAGGAGGTTCGTGCATGGGGGGAGCGCATGGCATACGCTCCCGAGGAAACGGACCACAGCCGGAGTAGGAAAACGTCGCCACTAACACATGAATCATAACCACATGATCGTTTGATAGCTATTCGAGAGAGTTCGTTTACAGGTCTGGGACGATCAGATAAGAACTTCAAAGAGAAACAAAAGTTGTTCTCTGAAATGGGCTTTAGTGAGACTTCAAATGTTTACCTGTACGATATTGGAATTGGTCCGAGCCCTTTCCATCCTTCTATGGAAAAATTTGCACGGATCTATACCTCCGATATGCCCGCTATAGTGAGTTTTTATGTTGATCAGAATTTTACTGAACCTTTTTCTTTCCGATGTATTTAATGAATTCTGAACCTAAAAATTCTTGTATGCCCTTCATTGGATTTCAGGCGATATCCGACCCAGCTACTCTGGGTAAGGCTGTCGAATTTCTCAAAAATCGTTTCGCTATACTAGAACGCTCCTATGGACCTATAAATGAAGGCAAAACATTGAATGAGAAGAACATAGCTCTGCTGAAAAAGGCAGAACTCGGGCTATTTGAAAAAATGGCGGGCCAAAGGGGTAAGCTGCTTTTTTATTCTTTCAAGGGTGGTGGTTCCATTATTAATTTGCCCCTTCGTCCAAGGAATACAGTCATGATCCCAACTCCTCTCATCTTGAAACCTCGGCATCGTTGTTGATATTTTGTACTTCTGTTTTTGCCAACGAGGTTTGTAGGTGGAAACGTTTTATTCGGCCAACGTTTCGACCTGTTCGTCGTCGTCAAAGGCCTAAACATGGCTCAAAGCTTAAGAATTGCACACTATCGGACCAAAGGCCTTGTCCCCTCTAGCATTTTTGACGTCATTTCAGGACTGCAAAAATACCCAAAACACTGAAAAATAAGCTCACCGTGTTCCACCACAAGTGTGTAGCGTAGAGGCGCTAGCTCTTTTCGCTTTGCACTCTTGTGTGGTCCTGAAATGACGTCAAAAATGCTAGTGGGGACAAGGCCTTTGGTCCGATAGTGTGCAATTCTCAAGCTTTGAGCCATGTTTAGGCCTTTGACGACGACGAACAGGTCGAAACGTTGGCCGAATAAAAAGTTTCCACCTACAAACCTCGTTGGCAAAAACAGAAGTACAAAACAGTCATGATCCCCGCAAACGATAGGGCGGTTGACGCGGTAGTGGTTAGCGCACCCAGGGTGGCTCTGTTATAACAATGCTGCCATCCTGAGCCCGTTACAGTTGGTGGGGAAATCTGCCCTGGTTGCTTTCCAAGTCGTAGCCCTTCCTACGACCTATCAATTGCAGGGATTATGACTGCATAATAGTTTTTTTTTGCAGAATTTATTGTGAACGATGGGAGAAGCGTTTGTTCGAAGTAGTGGATAAAGTCTAGGGTCGTTCGACTCAAAAGCCACATATATTTCGTTGCGGAATTTGCTCATAGAGTTCCAGCTCTTCCGTCATCAAGTCATTGCAAAGCTTTACATTACCTCATTATTCTGCTTTTATGCTTGTTTGTACGCAGATCTTTCTACGATATTACCCGTTTTGGGGTGATTCTGCTCCATATCTGTATAGTTGATAACGAGATGGGGAGTGTCTTCTGTGCTGCACTACCTTCTGCTGGAACGCAGTGAACTACCTTTCATTGCCGTCTAGTCTCCAACACTTACCGGGAACGGTGGTAGGTCCAAATGTCCGTCTAAAATTGGATATCTACCGACGTGTCTTTGAACGATGATTTCAATTTCATCTTCCATATCTTCTGCGGGATTCTTTGAATGGAGTGAGAGGTTTTTCAGGTGTAGTAAACTCCCACTCCATACGAATATTCGGTATAGAGCTCTTTTGAATGTAAGACAAATTGCTTCAAACATCGTTCGAACTGTAGACACGAAGCTGGCTGCATAACCGCTGAGCTGCGATGAAACATTGAAAATAGCCTTGCCTGAAATTTGTATTGAGTGTGAGTATGGTGCACCTAGGGAAAATCCGTGACCCCATTCGTACGGTGCTCGCTGTGGATGCTGGGGGCGTGTCATGGGCTGGATCTGCCTGTGGCGCTAACTCGTCCTCCACCAATTGCTGAAGTGAGCAAGCGACAACAATTAGTGGGAATGGTCTGGCACCGCGCCAAATTCAGGC